TGATAGCTAGAATTAAAATAAAGAGAAGGGAGCAAGTTGAAAAGCCAGTTCAAATATATATGAGCATGAGCAATTTCTATTATCTTCTGTCACAGCTATAAATTTTCATCATAAAAATTTAAAGATACATAACATGAAACCCAATTGTTAAAAGTGTTCACAGACTAAATGACTATAATATGTAGATTTCAAGATCATGTAAAGACCTTAGAAACACCAAAATACTTCCTCATTCATTTTATAATTGTTGCAGAGAAGGTACGAACACTTTCTTTCCTTTTTCCTCCTCTTCTTCTCTTTTCCATTAAAAGTAACTACATAGTCATATTCTCTTAAACTGGCTTCCAATACTGGAATTATGGTCATTTTAACCCCCCACAATTTTTTAAAAACTGAAATTAACTATGATAATGAATAAAGAACAATTCCCTATAATTTTAATCTCAAAATGACTTTTCACCTGAGCTATCTTGTAGTCTCTCCAAGAGTAAGCCATGTGGATACACATAGGGTCCAGTGACCCTGGAGTAACTTCAGAAGACAAAACTGAAACACTGATGTAAAACTTAGGCTCAGGGATAGAGACCACAATTGAGAAGAGGAGAATATCATTTTTAATTCAGGATTCCATCATTATGAGAGGAAGATAAATAACAAGATTTTTTAAATTAAGAAAACAAGAAACTCTCCTTCAATGCACACTATTGTGTGTTATGTAACTTGCTGAAACAAATTAGGACCTTCATGAAATCATTTTGGATTTGCTAAGTCCCAGGAACTGTTCAAGGCACCAATAATGCAATAGTGAACAGACAGACAGAAATTCCTGCCCTTGTGGGGTTCACATTGCTACTGGGGGAAAATGTAAATTAAATAAATAAGCTGTGTGGTATATCAGACAATAAATGCTATGGAAAGGAAATACAGCAGAAAAGGAGAATGTGAAGAACCACAGGCTGTTTCATCTAAAATTGGGAAAGAGAGTCCTCATAAAGATGACATCTGAGCAAAGACCTGAAGGAGATGAGGGAATAAACCATGAGAATATTTGAAAGAAAGAGGCAAAGGAAACCGCAATGCCAAAGTCCTGAGGTAGAGGCATGCTTTGCAAGTTACCGGAACAGCAAAGATGACAGTTTGGCAGCAGCAGATAAAGGAGAGATTCTTAAGAGATTATCTAAGAAAAGTCAAGAATCGGGTAGAGAACTTCAAAAGCAAAAAATTAAAGTATTTAACAACTATTTTTGCACATTATTGTCAAAAATGCCAGGCCACTCAGAAACCATGGTATGCTGCTATACTGATGCTTACTGCCTTCATATCAACACTTCTCATACCCTGTTATAAAGACATTGGCTTTTGCTCTTTCAGAGGATTTTGAGAACAAAATTATCTGAGCTACATTTTAAGAGACTCACTTTTGCTAATGTGTTGAAAAATCTACTCTAGAAACAAGGAGATGATTTTTTAGATTATTAAAATATTCCAGATTTAAAATGTTGAAGACTTGGGCTAAAACAGTGTTGATGAAGATTAGAGAAGTGGTTAGAGTGTGGATATATTTTAAAGAGCCAACAGCATGAGCTAGCTGATTAGATATAGTTTTGAGAGAAAAAGAGGAGAGAAAGAGAGGATGACTTCAAATTTTTTATTCCTAGAAACTGGAAGATTGGGGTTGACACAGAGTGAGATGAGAAGGCTAAAGGGGAAGCAGGGTCAGAGTGAAAGCAAAGTTTGGTTTTACAAATGTTAAATTCACATATCCATTAGCCATCCAATTAAAATTGTTAGCTATATGAATGAGGAGGAAGGGATATTACCAGTCTTCCCCATGAATCCAAGACACAAAGAACACAATTTTCTAGCACAAAACTTTGTAATTATATTTCATAAAACTTTTAGGCAATAATTCATAAACAAACATGCAAATATTTCAATCATATGCAACTAAGTGAATTATGTTCATATATGTATAATATAGCATTTTTTTCTTAAATGTCAACAAAGTATTTGTGGCTTCTGTTTGATACTTTTGTGATACCAATTAGAAAAAAAAGAGAACAAAACAGCGTATTTAATTTTATTTTTAGAGGAACAAGTAATCCTCAGAGACACGAGTTTTTGATGACATTGCTGTGTGGAAACTCGCTTCACAACAGAGATTTGACCGTCACTTCCCCATGACCTCTTTTCACTTGTCAAGTATTTAACTGTTGATATTAGAAACTCTTGACATTTTGAAATGGCTTTCTGCTTATAATTAAAAATATTTTCTCCTTGGTCCTCCTGAAGAAGGAACACACTTTTTGGCAACCAGAGTGAAAACAATGGCTTTTCCTGTGTTTTTTGGTTGCCTGGGTTCATTCTCACTGCGGATACTACTGTTGGAATCATGGTTCTCCTGGCCTGCCTTCAGGAGGGAGCACCAATAATGATTCTGGATAACCTCAAGGATCCTGTGTAAAGAAAATCCTCTGAGTTTGGACCAAAGAAATTCATGAAATCTACTTATAGATGGTTCTAGGTAAATGTAATTGTGTCTCTTTTACCTTATTAGATAACTTTTCATCCACAGATAGGGTAAGTGAGAAAAACTTACTGAAGACACAAATGTATAGTTAGTGAGTAAACATTCTTTCTCAAATCAGGATGAATTCTTTTTTTAATTTCACAACATATTTTGACCTGGAATTACTTTTTTGAGGATCTGTTTAAACCAATGCTTTCCTGTAATTCAAATTTCTAAATTTAATCTCTTGTCTAATCCATTTTATGTGTAAATGTGAAAACACTAGTTATTTTATTTACTAATCATTCCATTGCTGTATGTAATTAAAATGTTAGCTTACTTCTTTCCAACTGCCATGTGTGTACCTATGCAACAATCTTGCATGTTCTTCACATGTACCCCAAAACCTAAAATGCAATTAAAAAATAAATAAATAAAATAAAATAAACTACTATGTACTAAAAATAAAAAATAAAAAGAAAATAGCTGGAAAAAAGAAAGTTTGACTAGAAGTTATAGAATATTGAATGTCATTTTGATTAAACAACTACTATATATTTTCCTTTTTGATCCCCACACATACAAATATCACAAAATTGGAGGAATCCTAACTTAAATAGCTAAGCACAAGTTCTCTCAAACTAAAAATATTGTTAATTTTTAGACAACTTTTTAAAGACATCTCCATTTTATAGATGCAGCAGATCTGGGACTACCAAATTCAACATCAACCATATGCAAAATAAATGTATACATTTAAAATATAAAATATACAAAATTAAAGTATACACTTCTCTTAAACAGAAATGTATACCTATCCAAAAATTATATTATACTTATTGGAAATTATAACTCCTTCAAAAGGCCAAATTTTGTATAGTACTAAACAAATAATATGTAGTTGTAAAAATAACATTGGAGCAAAATAGCAAATAGTGTGCTCAGTATTCTTCAAGGACTTGTATTTTTCCTCTAGACATCTTTTATTTTTCCTGAAAAGCTTTGAAAACAAAAAATATTTGGTTTTCTGAGTTTTATTTATCATTTAAGCAAATGCAAAAATCTGAAAAATTGGATTAGAAACAAGACAATGATTTGAACCTCTGTTAAATGTAAATGAATTAAAGTTCATTGCAATTTTTTTAAGTAGCTGAGGAATGGCTGACTCTTAAAGCTGTTGTTAAAATTTATTTTGATTTTCACCTAGGGCCATCTCATTCACTAGGAAAAAAACAAATCTTACAGAATAAATGCACTAATATTATCAAGGACAGAAATATTTGCATTGAGACTTGAAACTAAGTCAAACACTGACAAAACACCTTCTAAATTTTAACAATTTCCACTATTTACCATGGCTGTATTGATTATATTAAAGTCCTATAATTAATCAATTTCTAAAATTTTATTTCAATAGCATCAATTGCACTCCTCCTTCTTTGAAAAAGGTCTAACTTGAATGTTTCAATCCACAAAGTTGTTATTTCATATTTTTATAGAGTCCCAGGAAATTCATTCCCATATTTAGTACATAGTAGAATCCACAGCACTATTTTCATGTCTGAGGTTAGCCTCTAAATGTTTATAAAATAAAACTTTAATTCTTAAAAAAGATGACATGACTATGTTCTCTAAGCCATTAACATCATAATATAATATTGTTACAAAGCCAAGCTTCTTTTGTATTTTTACTTATTTGTCCCTTTCATGTAGTAAATAATGTCAAATAGTTTCAGTAGCATATAGGAAGCTATTTTTTTCAACTAAAACAAAAGACCAAAAACAAGAAAACAAACCCTTTTCATTACTGAAGATAATTAATACACCTTGCATATTTAACCAGTCTTCTTTTGTTTCAATACATTGGTTTATAATTTGCCTCTTCTTGTATGATCAGTGACCTCACAAATTTCAAACACATTACTATGTTTCAGGCTATGTATTTATATAGCAGATCTAAAATGCAATATATGCCTATGAGCTTATTGTTGTAAAAAATGTACATATACCATATCTGAAAGTTCAAATATCATGCTAGAGCTCTGCTCATTTTAATTTGTGTGTTGAAAATCTTTCTGAAGTGTCCTCATGGCTGATGGCAACTTTTCATGTAATCATTAATGAATATACACAAAGAAGCTGAGATATTATTCACCCACCACACAAGGCAGACCTTTAAATAAAACAACAGAAGAGTGTACAGTCTCTCAGCAAGCTTTCCTGATGGAACTTATTTAAAGGACAATAGACGTGTCCATAAACCTTTACATTATAAAAGTAAAGGAAGCCTGTCCCTGAAGACATACTCTATGGCTCTGAAGGTTTCTTTTTGTGAAGAGTCATAAATACATTCCCCAGCATCTAAAACAGCTCTCCAATTTCTTGATGCATTAGGACTTCTGTTCCCTCAAGAATATTACAGAAACTTCTCATTTAACAATATGACCTAGTTATCACTATTAAAAGAAGCTAGGGGGGTCGTGCGTGCGGTCGCGGGGGCGTCGCTCTGCTCCCGGTGTGCGGGCGGCGGCCGCTGCCTCTAAGCAGGAATGAGCCGGGCTCGCGGCTGAGGCCATGGCCAGTACAATGGTAGCAGTTGGACTGACCATTGCAGCTGCAGGATTTGCAGGCCGTTATGTTTTGCAAGCCATGAAGCATATGGAGCCTCAAGTAAAACAAGTTTTTCAAAGTCTACCAAAATCTGCCTTCAGTGGTGGCTATTACAGAGGTGGGTTTGAACCCAAAATGACAAAACGGGAAGCAGCATTAATACTAGGTGTAAGCCCTACTGCCAATAAAGGGAAAATAAGAGATGCTCATCGACGAATTATGCTTTTAAATCATCCTGACAAAGGAGGATCTCCTTATATAGCAGCCAAAATCAATGAAGCTAAGGATCTACTAGAAGGTCAAGCTAAAAAATGAAGTAAATGTATCATGAATTTTAAGTACATATTACTTTATGTATATGAGTATTAACTTTTTATAATAAAATGCCTCAGAGTTACAGTTTTAAAAAATGATTTAGCACAAGCTAAATCTCAAAGCCTTGGTATAATTTTTGTTTAAACATGGGGATTTTAAATTAGACTATAGTTTAGAATATTTGCATATTAATTATGGGCAAACACACCATTTGAAGATTAATATTGTTCATTCCTCATTTGGCAGATGATTTGGGACCTATGTCTACTCTTCAAGGCAAAGTGAAGATGACAGTCCTTGCTCTCAGGGAGCCCCCACTTTAATGGGAGGCCAATAAACTGGTCATTGGACTGTGATAAATAGTATGATAGAAATTCACTCAAGCTGGTCAAGTAGGGGGTCTTAAGAGGTTTTAAAAAAAAAGGCTGTTCCAGGTAGAGACAACTGGCCCAGCAACTTGGATACTTGGAACCTTGTATTTAAAAGTGAATTTAGCCACAACTTAGACCTAAGAAATTGACCTAGGGGTGTGGGTGGGTGTGTATGTATTCTATTTACATACATATATTAATAAACAGAGTATTTCAGACATTAAAAACAGTATGATAAAGATTTCAGAGTACCGGTCTGGCACAATCACAGCTCATTGCAGCCTCAACCTCCTGGGCTCAAGCAATCCTCCCACCTCAGCCTCCCAAAGTGCTTGGATTACAGGCATGAGAAGTATTTACTTTGTATTCAGCTAGCCCCTTAAAGGTACTAACCATTTATAAATTATTCCTTCAGTTGGTTATTTCTTGACAATCAAACTTCTGTAATTGTTATGATTAAGCTTAAACACTGTTAGCAAAATGAAATGTCAATATCAAAATATTCCATTTGGACTGTTAATTTATACACTAATAAATGTAAATGATGTTTAAAAAAAAAAGCTAGGTATGAATGTATGAATTTTTGGCTTTCCTGCTTATGAATGTATGAATTATTGGTACTATAAAGTTAATAAGTATTCTATATGAAAAACTTAGGCAATATCTCTGTTTACACTTATGCAAACCATTACTGAAATAAAAGAAATCATGCATGCCCACTTCAAAAACTTGCTTGCAAAACTGTTTAATACTTGTATATTGTTTTAGCATAGTGCCAGGTTTATCATTAACATGTGTTAAAGTGTATTTTACATACACAACAGAGACCTAATACTGTATGGGAATACTCAAACAAAGGCCTCAAATATCCTTCAAATATTTCACCTTTATAATAAAGATTTATGTATTTACTTTTTGGAAGAGAGTACAAATAAAATCCATATGCCAGTATCACTGCTTTATTCCATTTTCAAAGAGGCACTTCTTCATATTTCTTAGAGCATATTTTCATGATAATCTCTTCCTTCTTAAACAGTAGTCAAAAATGCAGGCAAATGTCACTGACAACATGGTAAGAGATGTTATTTATTTTTAAACCAGCTTTGGAAGCAGCTGCCCCTGAAATAACTGGAAGAAAAAAAAAGATACCAGAAATAGAAGATGGAACAGGCAGAGGGAAATAAAAATGGACTACTGGCCTATTCCAAGTCAAATGTGGTAATTCTTTGAAGCCCACAGATTTCAAGTGACAAGACAACTAAAATCCCTCTCAAAGTACAGATGCAAATTAATTAGAGCAAACAGTCTAGTGTGTTAGTGTGTGTATAAGAGTGTGTGTCTGAGAGAGAGAGAGGCAGTGAGTGGAGGTATACTATTGCAATTAAAATAAAAGGATATAGGAGTGCTTATAAGTATACAACTATAGGGTATAGATTATACAACAATAAACATAGCTATGTGACACAGAATATCATGAAGGGAAAAAGTCCTAAACAGTGCTAGATACCTGGTGCTGACGGATAAATTTATAAAGTTGAATGAATATCCCTTGACTGAGGTTCACAAGCATTACCATAAAATGAGTTTATTCACAGAATGAACTAGATATGGTAATTTCAAAAGGCATCATCATTGTAATTTGTTCATTCATTTTAAAATATTTTACATAATCTAGCCAACTCTCAATTGCTCATTTAAAGATGAGCAGTAATGCAATGCAAACTTTCCAAATGTGGGTCTGGGAGACAGTGTGAATGATACTTATAATTAGATAGGCATACATATAAAATATGCCTTTCTAGTTATTTTTATATATGACACTAACTTTACGATAGGGGAAAGAAGCTGCCAATGCTGGTTGACATCTGAAACTGGCAGAATTCTGAAAACTGGCAATAAATGATACACATCAAGAGAAATTCATGAGAATAAAATGTTTTCTGCCCTCTGCACTTACAATGTTTCTATTTTATTCCAGTGGATTATACTGCATAAGGTTTATGTAGTCTATAAAGCCCATGGCTACAAAATATATGTCAGGTAGGCAAGAATATAAGAATATCAATGGTTAGAATTCTCAAAAAGGTAAGAACTGCTCAGACATGTCCCCAGTGCCTTCCAACCTCTGTAAAAGTAACAAGGAGAGCAGAATAACTGACACTCATTATTCTTCTGCACATGACTGGAGGTTGGCATTATTAAGGTCTTTCATTTGTGTTAATTAATGTACTTTTACACACAGGAGGCCGTCCATTGATACACTATACACTGATGTACTTAGCTTGCTTTTACAATTTTTGGCTGTAGAATTCTAACAAATTTTGGAAGCTTTTGGTTCAAAAGTGTGAAGGCTGCCACATGCCTTTATTTTTGTTGGTTTCCAAGAGTTTCTGGAGATATTTTTCTTCCAAAAGAATATTTTAAAGATAAACTCTCAATCTCAAAACTTATTACGGGTGATAAAAATCTTTTTTTCACATTGAAATTTTAAATAAAGTTTTGTAAAATTTGCTGTAATTGTATGAATTTTTGAAATAAAATATTAAATATGCAAATTTCTAAATCCATGTATAAACTATTGCATGCTGTCTTAGATGCCTTCAGATGATTTCATTTTATCTCCTGACTAAATGTGTTTTTTTAGCCTTTTCTGAAAAAATCTGTGGACAAATCAGATCACAAAGATAATTAACCTAAATTTGAAAAATAAAATTGGCTGTCACCTGATGCTACCCTACACTATGTTGAAATCTGTTGCTTCTTTGAAAGAAAAATATAGTTCAAATAAGATGGCACATATCTAAGATTGCATTATATATTAAATTGGAATTCCCTTAAACAGGTACACTGAAAGTCAGTTTCACTGTTTCTCATTTTCATTAACTTCAGTGGAATAGTTTTCCAGTTATCTCATGTAATTATCTATAACATCTTGAAGATCATTGGATATCTATGATTTATTTTATAATCCTGTTACATCAAGGATTTATTAGAGCTCAGTAAAAATATATATGAGTGAATATATATATGTTTTAACCAGTGCACAACAATTAGAAATTAACCCCTTACCTGTAAGCAGAAAATTTTATGTTCAAAATTAGCTGTCAAAACACTATTCACATATAAGTTCTCATTCTCTTGGTCAAAGAGTTTTGGGGGAAGAAATGTACTTAGAGTACATTAGAAAGAAATATAATGGGGTCTTGAATAGAGGGCACATTGTGAAGACAGCAATTTAAAAAGAATCCACTCTCTTACAATTCTATGTCTTAACTGAGGAAACACATCTTTTCACAAGATTCCAGGAATTAAACAACATAGAAGAGTTCAAGTGTTCAGTTTACCAGCTCATCTGCCATTCCTTGCCTCCAAAATGCAAGTGCAATGATAGTTACTAAGACACATTTCTCTGAAATGAAAATCACTAGACAGGAAATACATTAATCATGAAATTTCCTAGAATCATTTAGTTGTGTGCGCCCATTAAAAGTATGTTTGAATACTGACAGAGTTTCAGAAAAAAACAATGCAACAATCACTATGATAGCTGAAATATGGCTTCATAGGAAAGAGGGCTACATTTAATTCGCTTTGATTGTGTCTTTTCTGCTTTTTGTTATAGTTCATATCACTGGCATGGAGTTTTGAGCCAACCTTTTTCCAAATTGAGTTACTACCGAAATTTACAAACTTGACATGAAGATTACATTATATTTACAAAGAACTTGGCACTTACAGAATAAATTATTGACATTTTAAAAATCCAGCTCAGGGCCCCCATGGTTCAGGCCAAGGAAAGCCTGATGCCTTATTATATATTATGCTACATTAACATGAATAAGTCAGTTTCCAGCTGGTAATTCCTCCACAGTGCTGTCCCTGTTGCTGAAAACCAACACTTTCAATTTCTAATCCGTGAAGGAGATGTAGAGAAGTTATTAGTCCAGAGAAAGCAAAGGTTGCATGTTTTCTTCCTCATTTTTATCCATGCGTTTTAGTACTGTAGGATCCACTACTGACTGGGATCTGGAAAGGATAAAGCCAACATCAGTGAGTTATTACCAGATAATTGCGCAGATGACATTCCCTCCTCTGTCTTTTTGTCATTACTTCTCCCGAGAATGTGGATTCCCTTCCTCTATATCAAGGAATTTGTGAACTGTGGATATTGCACATTTAGAGAGAAATCACTGCTGGTGATGTTTTGCACTGGAGTAAGGAAACAATCCTCTCTGGCCTCTAACTAGAATAATGAGTCACCAATGGTTCTGAATAGACAATACTAGGCTTAAGAGTTCTTCATAGTTGAACAAGATTCTTTTCTTTGAGATACCAAAAATTTCTAGTGTAGGATAGATGTTTTCCAATAAAACATCTCCAAATGAAAAAAATTACAGTGAAATGATTATTATGATAAATTAAAAAGAAATAACAGGAGGCTTAATTCCAGTCTTTAAAAAATCTATGAAAAAAATGCAACAAAAATGCACCTTTTTTTCCTTCGGACCATCATTTTTAGCTTGAATGATCGTATCAACAAAAAGATCAAAATTTGAATGTTTTTATTAAATTTCCTAGTAGAATATCCAGATAAAATCAATCTTAATCTTGAAAGTTTCATGGAACAGTTATAGAATTTTAAAAAGTAAAAACCCCTCTTGTTTAGGCCACAATACGTTATTATTGGGAAAGCACATAATTTGAAAACCTACCTATACATGACTTTGATAGCAGGTGGGGATTATATCTTAATTTATCATTAGGAAATCACATGAGAGTTGGAAAGAGGAAAATCAATGAAACATGCTCCTGTCATGGCAGGAAGCTGCCATCTTAATAGCTATAGCATTTAGGAAGCAGCTGCCCTTTTAGAATTCTCCTGGGTAATGAATTCTTCCCCTGCTGCTGCATTCCAGCCAACTGGCTTTTACTGTGGCAATATGCCTCTTAGCAGACCTCATTAACTGCTGAAAAGACCATAAGCTAAAACACAACTGCACATGCAAATGAAAAAGAACAGCAACGAAACTAATTATCAAAGTAAAAATAATGACAGAATTAACTGATAAACTGACTCAATTTAAATAAACTTAAATTATTTTTCAAAGATGGAATGAAAATGAAGGTAAAAGCATTAAAATATTGAGAGATTTTGTTCCCTAAGTGTCATTTACACTATTTTATCTCAATATTAAGTCGGCATTAGATGCCTATCACAGAAAAAAGCCTGACTAAAGTTGTGTGTATGTGTGTAAGAGAGACAGAGCAGGATGAGGAAAAGAGGGCAACAAGGAGAAAGAACAGAGAGAAGAGAGATTTTGTTTCATATTATTATGCAGTAGTACATAACCATCTTCATTTAAACTACTTTAAACCACCATCTGTATTTAAAGCAAATAAAAGACTTTTTAACAAAGCAGACAACTGCACAAAACACTAAGTAATTAGACTTTTGTTTTTAGGTAAGACCCAACTAAGCAAATTGGCTCTCAGATGAATCCATGTTAAAAGAGAAAGAGGTTCATTTAATGTCCTGTGCTAAAGTATTGACTTGACAACTGATATGCACGAGACTGCAAGTTCCATAAGCAGGGACTTTATCAGTTTCTTTTCTTGTGAATACAATGTGCATCATACAGCTTGGAAAAGAGTAAGGTCTTCATGTCTGGACTTCTAGCCAGTAAACAATTTCCATATTGAAAGAACTTCAGTATGAAGCACTCAAAATGAAGACTAATGGGATAATAGAGAAAGCAATTCTATTTTCTTTATAGAAAATAAATTTTAAATTTTTCCTAAAATTAAATCTATTATATAAATTGTTAAGATATATCCTAATAATATTCCATAAGTATATACCAATGCTTTTCAGACAGTACAAGGCACAAAATTTAAGCATTTGCCATAATATTCTCTTACACATTATGCAGACATGCACACATATACACATTGTAAGTCTGTGTGTTTCAGGACTGTTTTTGAAAAAATATTAGAGAATATGGCATTTTTAACAAAATATTTTAAATTATAGTATACTGTTCAACCTAAGATTAAGTTTCTAGTTTGCTTTTATCATGCATTACAGATATGAAGATTGTTGGATGATGAATGCTGGTTCCATATGCGGAACAATTCCTCAATCACAGACCAAAAGTGAGTCAGAAACAATTTATAATTAATTTTTTTCTTTTTGGTATTTAGTTGTCCCAAGTGTACAGTTATTTTAGTCCAATGTTTTTTTTAACTCTCTTTTATGACAGAACAGGATTATTTGTGCAGATTCAGAAGTGTTAATGAATTTATTTATTCCAGCCACAGTGGAAGGAGATGGCTGTCATTAACTCATACATCTCAGAGGCTTCTGGGTTTTTTTGTTTGTTTTGGTTTGGTTTTGCTTGAGCCAAAGGCTCACTATGTCATCCAGGCTGGAGTGAAGTGGAGCCATTTGGTCTCACTGCAACCTCCGCCTCCTTCAAGTGATCCTCCCAACTTGGCCTCCCCCAAGTAGCCAGGATTACAAGCATGCACCACCACACCTGGCTAATTTTTGTATTTTTAGTAGAGGTGATGTTTCACCATGTTGGCAAGGCTGGTCTCAAACTCCTGACCTCAAGTGATCCGTCCTTCTCAGCCTCCCAAAGTGCTGGGATTACAGGCATGGGCCACCATGTCCAGCCCATCTCGGGGGTTTCTGCATAGCTTCTATTGTTTTCACAATGAATAACTTTTCTTTCTTTCTTGAAAACCAGTAATTTAGGTTTAGGTATCCAATACTCATTTCTCATGCATCTACAATACATAGTGTTTAAGAAACTAGATATCGGACAAAAGTGGATCATAACTGCAGTTGCTAATAATAGCAGTTTGCTAGCTGTATGATCATGAGAAGACTAAACTCTCTAAAATTTTGTTCTCAATTTTTGTAAAATGGGAAAAATAACACCTACATCACACAGTTATAGCGAGGATCAGAGGCAACAATGCATCGATAAACTCTGGCACAAATTCTGGCATATGGTTAAGAAAATGGCTCTGGAATACTATTGCCTATGTACAGATATTAACATCACTACTTCGTAGTTATATCACTTATCTTTCCTGTTTTTCAGTCTCTCTATCAATAAAATGTGGATACTACTACTTTATTAGTAGCTTTAAGAAGCAAATAAGTCGACATATAAAGAGCGTTGGAACAGGGTTTGGCACAGAGTAACAATAAATGCTTAACATTATTCAATAATAATATATTCAATATTCAATAATCAGAAGTGTGTATCATGAAAATAAGTACTGTTACTCACTACTCTTATGTGCCAGGCACTATCATAGGCATTGGCAACGTAAGGTAAAAGACATTCTCCAGTTCTAAAATACTTAGTCTGGTGAACTTTGTGTCTTTACACATGACTATGCTGTTCCTCCATAAATTTAGAGAGGACCTGCCGTTCCTCCAAGAGACAAAGTCATCTTCTTAGGCATCTAGCTACATCTACTCAAAATAAAAATTATGGACAACTTTTTGGTTATGGAATGATTTTCTACCTCTTAATTCTAAAGATAACATAAAACTACGAAAAGGAAAAAGGCCAAGGGGAATCAGCGTGGAACACAGGAGCAATCTTCTCTTTTCCTCAATGGCAAACTGCCATTCGCTGACAAACAGAGCATGACAAGCAAGTGCAACATCTTTCTTAGTCTCATTCTTCAGGAGTTTTCCAATAGAATCATAAATATTCCATACGATACCAAACATACACCAAACAATGCCTAAAATTCTTATCAGCCTATGACACAAGCAAGAAACTCAGGATTTGGGCCGTTAATGGGCTATAAGCAAAGTGTTCAGGGCGGGAAATGGCCTCATTAACTGGAGAAGAGAATCAGTATACAAACGGTGGATAGATTGAATTAAATCTAACAAGACGGGCCTTAATCAATTAAAATAATGTGAACGGAGGACAAAGCTAAACTATAGGAGGACATGGATTGGTAAGTAAAGAGACTTTCCAGTTTTAGGAAGCCCCAGATGAGTCAGCTTTGGCTGCCTGAACAATAGCAACAGTGACAACAACAAGAACCCAAAGAAGCCACTGAGGTCTATCCTGCAAAGCCAGAACTCTGCACCATAAACGCAAGTACTAACACCGGGTCAGATGTCTCCTATTCGGTTACGAATACTGCACTTAAAGGGAACTACTGATGGACAGCAGAGCACCCTCTTCCATGCATTCAACTAGTAATTGCTGACCACCCTCTGTTGTTCCAGGACTTTCTCCAGGCACTGGAGATTCAGAGAACAGGGTAAACACAGTCCATATGGTCTCCATGAAGCTTACTTTGGGGTGGGGATCGGAAATAAAATTAAATAAAATCAGCTATTTCACAGACTAAAAGTGCTATGAAGAGAATAAAATAAAGAAGGGTGATAGACAGGGAGTGACCAGAATGAGGAGAAAGTAGAACTGACTAAGACCAGGTGGGTAACAAAGATCAAAAGACTCTCTCTTGAGAAGCTGACCTTTGATTGGGACCAGCCGTTTGAAGATGAAGGAAAAGAGCATTTCAGATGGTGGTGACAAGGGGACAAAGAGACTATTGTGTCTGAAAAGCAGGGGAAGAGGAAGAAAATGGGATATACCTGGAGGGGAGTGGGAGGCAGGGTCAGACAAGGTAGCATCTTGTAAGCCATGATAAGGAGGTGATTCTATTTATTGCATAAATCGTGGTCATTAAAAATATAAAGCCGAAGCCTGCACAGTGGCTCACACCTGTGATCCCTCGGCTTTGAGAGGCCAAGGCAGGTGGATCACTTGAGGCCAGGAGTTTGACACCAGTCTGGGCAACATAGTGAGACCTGGTCTCTACGAAAGAAACTTTAAAAATTAGCTGGGCTTGGTGACAGGCACTTGTAGTCCCAGCTACTTGGGGGACTGAGGTGGGAGCAGTGCTTGAGCCTGGGAAGGTTCAGGCTGCCATGAGATATGATCACCCCACTGCACTCCAGCCTGGGCAACAAAGGGGGAACCTGCCTCAAAAAAATAAAATAAAGCCAATATGCGAAATGATCTGATTTGTATTTTCAGAAGATTTTTGGATTGCTATGTGGATAATAAATTGGGGATAGGGGAGCAGGTAAGGCTGGAATCAACAAGAGCAGTTAAAAAGTTTTTTAGGGGGTGGGTGCGGCTGAGCAGAATGCAGGTAAGGTGTAGAAGTTATAAAGAAAAATGTGCTCACATGATGGGGCCACATGAGCAGTCATGCCTCAGGCGGAATGGCTGAAGGAAAAGGGCCTCATTAGCTGACAAAGAAGAACACTAGTGGACACCGATGACAGCTGCCTCCAAACCCTTATGTAGTTCAGTTCCTGAGAGAGGGGCTCTGTGCCATCAAGAGTAGGCAGGCTTTATGTCAGTGATGTTAAGGACTCCACACCTCACGCACTGGAGCCCAGCTCTGCTACATACAGACTAGCTAACGTTGAGGATGCAATATCTGTTTAACAGGGTTGCTGTGAGGATGCAATAAATTAATGTAAAACAAAGCACCTAGTAAGGACCTAACTCATGATGAGTACCTAGTAAATGATAGATAATAACAACTATTATCATTAGGATTATCATTTTATTAGAAGAAAACTACTTTTAGAGGAAGTTGCTTTTAACCACTTTTGCTTTTAAAAACGTTTAAAGAATTTGATGAAATATATGCCTTCTCCACAGAAAATACATGCATGACATATATATATACATTCATACTTATGCACACAAAATTTTGCATACAACTTTTAGCACTTAACAGAATCCTTTGAGAGCCCATCCGTGAACCCCTTAGGAGAGCAGAGATCTCAAGAAGTTCTGTTCTAAAAGAAGGTAGTTAAGAAGCCTAAAGTTGTTTTAAATATAAACTTGCTAACTAGTGAAAAAATCGAGCAAGGAAAGTTTCTGGCCTTTCCATTCTCTCCAAGGACTTGTGCATCAGCCTGGAGAGAGGAAATGATCGCACACACATACTAACAATAATCACCACAGAGGCAGCAGCATAAAACAGCATCCTTAAAGAACAGCCACATTACTCCATGAGTCGGAGTTAGGAGGATAGGACCTTAAGGCTTTCATCAGAGAAGGATGCCAGACATTGGCATGACCTATTCAACATCCTTGCATCTTCCCTAAGCTAGGTATGGAGGCACTTGCAGGGGCTGTGGTGCCCATATTTCTGTGAATGCGAAATGAACCGGAGGAGTAATATTTGTTACTGTTATCTAAATGGACCCCGGGCTGTTGCTGCCTGGGAAGTCTGAGAATTACACATCTACTTGTTTGCAGCAGAATGCAAACTCAGAGCCAGGGATGCATTTGTGCATGCTGACAACCCCCCAGATTATTGATTGAAAGAAAAAAGGCATAAAAGTGCTGTGAGAGTCAAAGCAGGTATTTGGACTCTGACTCAGCAATGAAATTTATAAAGATTAAAACTGAAGGGAAACACAATGTTTTGTACCACTAATGTTTAGATCTTTAGACAAAGACTTGGCAGAGACATTGAAAAAGGACCACAAACTTTGTTGAATACCGTGTTTGAACTGATGTGTTTGTGTGCATCATTGCTTTCTTCAAAAGAAATCTTACACAGAATTCCAATAAATTGCTTAGATAGGAGAGTTGCTCTCACTGCAGGGGAAATGGGCACTCTCTCTACTCTACCTACTTGGTCTGAGGCACTCCATCAAAACCCTTGGTTTCTCAGGATGCAATTTGAAAACCCACCAGATTCGGTCACTTCCAAGGACCCTGCTAGACTGTCTGTGAATTGGGAACAACACTAAGTTTAGGTTACCTCGAATTACTTTATCTTTTTCTTAACTGACAAATAATTGCATATATTTATGAAATACAATATGATGGGAAAATACTGCATGATTTCACTTACATTGGAATCTAAAAAAGTCAAACTCATACAAGTAGAGAGTAGAATGGTGGTTACCAAGCACAGGGATGAGGCAGGGTGGGTTGGGGGTAGATGGGTAGATATTTGTCAAAAAGTACAAAGTTTTAATTAGGAAGAATAAGCTTTGGAAATCTATCATACAGCAAGGTTACTATAGTTTTCAAATATATAATAATGTATTATTATATATTTGAAAACTGCTAAGAGAATAACTTTTAAATGTTTTCACTATAAGAAAAGGACTTTATCTTTGACTCAGAACTCCTAGACATCCAATCATCAGGCATACAGAGTTTAAAAATCACACTAGAAAAATATATACAAAAAAACTAGAAAGCTTAGAGGTTGACTCAGGATGCCACCTCCTGCCCTGACCCCAGCCCACTCCCAGGCTACCTCCAGCATACCTCTTCATGGACTTGGGGGAGAGTTCCTTGTCTACTTCCTTCACAGGCATGCTGTAGGAGTCTACATTGTATTCACTGTCATCGTCATACTCATGGTCTAGCAGCGTTCTTGCCCATGTCCCCATGTCATAAGGAGGCAGCATTCCTCCAAACTCGGAGGGCAGGATCTCAGGATGAATTAGTTGGTGTAGACTGTTCAGGTTGTTACCATGCAAAAATATCTATAAATGCAGGAAGACGGGAGGAAGGGAAAGACACAGAGGAAACTAAATATCATCTAAATACTACATGGAGGAAGTAAGAATAGCAATAGCAAATATGAGTTTTCCACATCTGTTAAAATACTTAAGCCAGTCATCTACTCTGTGAAACAGGCAGGGATGGTACTATTAACCTAATATTCCATATCAAAATCCTGAGACTCAGACACTTTAAGTAGTTTCTGGAAGGTCAGAGAATTATTGGGTAAAAGAGCTGCAACCACAAATTTAGCTTCTGCTTCACATGCAGGAACATGAGCAGAATAATATGTGCATGCTGATCTGTACATCATCCTGGTGTTAGCTGTGCAAATTTGATGATGTGTATAATGAATACTGTGAAAACAGACCCTTCTCATAAGAGACTCATCAATTACAGAGCCTATGCAAGTTATTAGACCCAAAAGCTGTCACTTGCATGGCTTTCTCTTTATCATCAATAAAAATAAGAATATTGTAACCACTAAATTACTGTTTTATAATGCAAAGTGGGTGACGTAAATAACCGAAGTAGATTAGCATAATCATAATGAAAGGCTGAGTGAAGTTCATGTCCCAAAGTACATTATGTTCTGCAATGTTGCCAGTATTTTCTCTGCTAAAGATTTTCATACTTACTGTCAAGATAGAAAATGAAACAATAGATTAAAAATGTAAAGCTGTATGCATACCTTAATTATTTTGTCTAGATAGTGCTTTTTCAAAAACTGGAGACATATTCAAGACACATACTCAAGCTTTGTTTTTCCATAAATTCCTACCTTTCCTCTCTTTCCATTTCAGTTTTAAAATTGCAGTGGCCTTCTCAGCTATAGTACTGTTGTCTCATCTAAATTTATATAATATATATTTCAACATTATAGTTTATAAGTAACAAAAATAATTTCATTTTTCAGTTCAAGAAGAATAAGTTGACACATTCATATTTGCTTTCTGTGCCTTTAGAATCCACCAAAGTAAATATATAGGAAAACAAAGAAAGATTACTCTAAAATATCAAATAAAATCTGAAGACAGTAGTTACCAATTAATAAGCATTTTCAACAAATCATAGAAGAGGAAAAGCAGATAACCACAGGTCACTAGCCAAAACAGGCAGAGCAAATGGCTGTCTGGAGTATGTGACATGAGACCCACAGGAGGTGAAAGGTGCCGTCTTCCCCAAAGTACACCAGGTTAATTGCAAACTTTACACCTTGCCTTTCCTGTCTGAGTGCACAACAGCCAGTATTTATATCCAGGAAAACACATATGCACCCCTGTGCTCTTCTTATAAGAAGAAATGAAAATAATTTTCCAATGAAAGTTAAGTTCTGGCACATACAATCTTTATTTTATTAGATATATAACTTTTATCAGATGGAATTGTTCACATAAGAAATCTTCAACTCACGCAAGAATCATGGTAATAAATCCTTGGAGCAGTGAATGTAATCCTAACACACTACTTCCTCTCTCTTCTCTAAGACGCTGTTGCCTCCTTCCGCATCATTTTCCACTTTGGCCTTGCTTCCACTTTCACTGAGAAAATAGGACAACCAGATGACATCAACCCACCCACCAGCAGCTGTGTCTATGTATTTTGCCTCCACTGCTAGTACAATGAACAGATAAACCCTACAAAGGGTAATCTCTCCGCCTGCACACTAGAATTCATCCTCTCTCCCCTACTCAGTTGTATTTCTTAACAGTTCTCTCCTATCTCTCTCACATCCTCAGATTTCCTCTCTCTGCTGGATCTTTCTCATCAGAGAAAGGACATCCTGACTCCACTCCCCTCACACAGACACAGAAAACCTCTCTTGGCCCTATTTCTATCTCTAGTTATTATCCTATTTCTCTCCTCTTTATAGCAAAATTCACCCAAGGAGTTGTCTATATTAATAGTGCAAATACTCCCTCCCCATTTTTCCTAAATTTAATCCAGTCTGACTTTGTCTCTTATCACTGAATGAAAACAACTTTTGTCCAGGTCCTTCTCATTATTAGTTTCAGTATCCAATTTCCAGTCCTTACATGCCTTGAACCCTCAGTAGCAATAAATATAATAGATGACTCTGTTCATTGAAATATTTTCTTCTTGCATCTCTGAGTTTCTCCTACCGTCCTAGATACTTCTTTGCAGTCTCTTTTGGTGATTGCCCTAATATATTAATTGGAGAACTATTGGTCTCAGTTTTTAGATACAATCTCTTCTTTAACTATACTTACTCATTGGTGATTCCATTCAGTTCGTTTTATTCAGTCAATGACTTTAAAATAATATTGCTGCACTAGAAATATGTATCTTGAATCCAGGCCTCTTTTTTGACCTCCATAATTATATTTCCACTCTCCACTTAAAATATTTACTTAAATATTCAATGGCCACTGCAAACTTAATGTGTTCAAAATTGGACTCACAATCTTCCCCAACCCCAAATATGCTCCTCCCTATCTCAACGTCAGTTAAAGTTGTTAACATCATTCTCTGACATCACTTTCTCAGACCAAAGCTTTTGACCCATCCTTTACTCCTCTTATTTTAAGGTGTCAGTATATCTTGTTGATGCTCTCCTCAAAATGTATCCGGAATGCAATCATTCTAACTAGCTCTACTCCTGCACCCCTAACACAGCTACTATCCTTTCTGCCGTGCTTCTGCACAAGCCTCCTAACTGTTTTCCCTGTATCCACTCTTCTACCTACACTCTGTACTCAACAGGGCAGCCAGAATGACCATGTCAAAATATAAGTCAGGTCATATCTTTCTGCTCACAATGCCCATTGACTTCTTTCTCCCAGCATAAACCTATAAGGCCTTATAAGAACTACTCTGAACGCACCTCCTACTGTGCACTTGCCTCGGAACATTTATAACGGATATTTCTTCTGTCTGGAGATTTCTACTCCCAAATGTCCTCATGGCTTGTTGACCTACATCCTACAAGTCTCTTCTTAAAAGTCCCTTTGTCAGGAAGGCCTTCCTTGGTAAGCCTATTTAATACTGCAACCGTGCCCAACCTTGAAAGCACTAACCATTTTCTACATATCATGTTTCTTGACAGCACTTCTAATCTTCTATTGTATCATATAATTTCCTTACTTAAATCATGCATATACTGTCTTGGCAATTCATTAAATGTGATACTATTATTTCTCCAAAGCCAAGATTTTACTCATCTTTTACTCCTCGCATGGTCTAAGTTGTCAGTAAATCTCTTTGGTGCTGTCCTCAAAATGTATCCCAAATCCAATTGGGATATATTTGAAAAAATGCATATTACATAACAAAGATCTTTTAGAACTCTTACATGTGAATTGTATCTCTGAACTAAGCAGCAAAGATGCATTGCAATTGCCCAACTCTTAAGTTTCTACTTTGTTTTCACTAGTTCTATGTAATAATATCATTTATTAACATTTTACTATTTTTCTCTCCTTATATATTTTTTTCTTCCTCCATTTCATGAAAGAAGTCTGATCCTTGTTGGTTCCTGTCTCTGAATACCTTACATTTCTAAAAATTGGCCCACATAATGCTTACATTTTTTATTTTACTTTTCTACATTGTGCCGTTAAAGAGATTATGTTAGGTAATCTGGAGTAGAAAGGTGAAAGACTTTTGAGCTTCACCGAGTTGTAGAAGACAAAATTGGCCATATTGACTAAGAGGAAGAAATTTGTGCCAATTAGTAGGAAAACCTGTTTTCCATCAACATTTAAGTAGCAGGACCACAACCAGTGACTTCCTGAAGAATGCACTAGGGTGGTGAGTTCCGATGGGTTTTAACTTTAGCAAAGATATCTTTTTATCACAGGCAACTTGGGAGCAGAGGGAGACCATAGTTGAAGGAACTAATATTGGTTGGAACACTGAGGACATCAAAAGTGGCCATGACAGATGAGGAGTTTGGCTCTGCATGAAAGACTCCAGATACCGATGAGCTTTTGAGGAAAAAGGACGCCTCTGCTAAGGCTGATATTCCCAGCAGCCCAGTGAGTTGGAGACTCAAAGTCAAATTTAAGTTAATTTAAGAAAATGAAGCAGCAGATGAATCTTGCACACCTGAATTTGTAGGAAAAGATTCACAACTGCTTCTTCAGTTTTTTCTTTTACCAGTTTTTCAGAACATAGACTTACAGCATCTGAAGTATAAGGTGCATGAGTAATATTGTGATGCTGAGTCACTTGGAGTATCAGTGAAGGAATTTAATGGCTTTGTACTGTGTATGGATTATATAAGTAGAAATGTAAAGTATTTAAACATATAATTATTTTCTTATATGAAAATTTCTAAGTCATATAATTTTAATTATAATGGTAAAGTTCAGATACCTTACTTCCATCTGGAATAATGCTAGCAATGCATAGCTTTAGGTTGTCAAAACTGTCAAATTCAATTACAAAACCCCAAAACGCAGTGCACTCCTTGTTTTCTAGACTTGATCCTCTTCAGTAGTTTTCAACAGAGCAGAAGCATGTTAAAAATCATTTCAGTACAAGTAACCCCTGTATTCAGTGACCTTCAAGGGCTTCAAATTTTACTCCAACTGAAAGCTCAGATCCCAGCAATGGTGTACGAGTCTGTATGTGATCTGGTACAACACAGTCCCTCCTATCCCATCCTCTACCACCTACCCCAGCCCTGCCATCATCTCCCACAGCTCATTCTGCTCCAACTTTTCTACCTTCTTGCTGTTTGTCAAATACATTAGGCGTGTTTCTACCTAAGGACATTTGTCTTTGCTGTTCCTTCTGTCTGAAACTCTCTTTCTCATATTCACAAAACCAGCTCTACTCTACTATCTGCTAGCTGTGATTCACAGCAAATTGGTTAACCTTCCAAGCCTCATTTTTCCATCCATAAAATGAGAAACATAACAAAATATACTCCAAAGTGGTGGTGTAAGAATGAGTTAATGTATGCAAAGCACTGAGAACGGCATGTGGCATTGAGTGAATACTGCATAAGCATTCACCAGTATAATTTGTACTAAAAGCCCCTGAAGGTTTTTGGATCACTTGATCATCCTTTCATAAAGCAAAGCTTGAAATAGCACTTGTGGGGCACTTCAAAACACTTTCTGAATTCTAAAATATGAATTAGCTTGATATTTTGTGATAGAAACAATTTTTACTCTATATTATAATTGTTTATGGAATTCTTCCTCCTAAACTACTAAAACATTTTCAACAAATTCATTAACAGTAAATCCTCTGTTCACTAATGCTTGATATGGACATGTAATTATTTCACTTTCACAAGTACAGATTCATTTACAGTAAATCCTTTGTTTATTAATGCTTGATATGGACATGTAATTATTGCACTTTCACACTACAAGGAAGCTACTACCTGAAGTGCCTTCTAGGTCATTGAGAAAAATGGAAACTTATCTTCCATATAGATTTAGAGGAAAGCGTATTTTTCTGTGGAACTAATCATTTGAAAACTGGGAACAGCACCAGGAGGTAAAAATAGCTCTATACATGGGGCTGAAATATTCGGGTTTGTACATTAGCTCTGCAACTTTTCTTCTCTATATGTGAGTAAGCAGGTTACTTATCCATTCCAAGACTTAGTTTCTTCAGCTCTAAAACAGGAGATAATGCTTTGAACTTACTTTTCAGAGCTGTTGCAAAAATTTGTGAAATGTACATCAAGATGTATTTTAATGAAAATATGTGTTCAGTATTTACCTGTGCTCTACATTGTATTGTGTTTTATATAAATTATCTCAATCTCAGAAAAATTATTTTGTTTTATGCACTTTGACTATCCTCATTGTTAGATGAAAGTGAAATTGAAGAAACTGCAAGTAAAATGTAATTTAAAGAAGTATTAAAATTTTCACATATTAGCTTCTTTTCAAAATGTGTGATCGATCATGATAATCATAGCAAAAAAATTATATTAGATACCACAGGTGTCACTACATTCATTGTGATACATACTATGAAATAACACTCACTTATCAGCATATAAAATTATAACTTTTATTTAGATTTTGCTTCAAAGTAAGTTCATCAATAACATTATAGTAACATGGCATAAAAGATTTTTGGGTGCTTTTAAATTGAGGCTTTAACATACAATAAATGTGCCAAGATATCCTCCTCTTTTGTGAGCAACAAGGAGAGCTAGCTTTTAAACGCTTCATTCACAGACATACTGTTCATAACCACAGATCTGGAAGATTTTTTAAATGTCTTCTATGTTGATTTATATACAATGTTGAAGTATATTTGATTATAGCTAACATTATATACACATTATGCATCATAATTTGTTGAATGAGGGATGAGAAAGGATTAAAAAACAAAGAAACAAATACCCTTTTTCGAGTTTTCTCCTTCAGGAAAGGCCGGATCACGGTGTACAGGGCATGGATATACCATGGTTGATTGACAAAATGAATTCCTCCAAATCGCGCTGGGAAACTATCCTAGAGTAACATGGAGGGAAAAAAATTAAAATATGCTTTAATATACCGAGAAGGCTCAGGAAAGGTTATATGATATACAAATTTCTTCTTTCACATACTTAGATGAGATTATTTGTAGAGTTAAGGAGAGCAAAGAAGAAAGAACCTCACCACGTTAAACACTGTACTTTTAATACAGTAATTGAGATAACGTATAATAAAGCAAATCCTTCCCAAGAATAGGTTATTGATAAGAATTTCAGCATTTTTAGGAGGTTCATACTTTAAACCTATAAACTGCTAATAGTCATTACAGGACAAGACATTAAAAACAAAAGTCATTAGAGATTTGTCAAATAATGAATTTCATTTAAATTATTTACATTTACATTTAAATCTATTTAAATAAAAATATTTTATTTAATAAAATATTAATATTTTCCTACATAGAGATTAATTATTAATAATTAATCCCTAGGTAGTCATCTATAGTGTGAGCAATGTCAAACACAAAACTCACTTTATTCTCTTTATCTTATTATTTTATCAACTTTGTTACAAACATTCTCTTTTCTTATTTTAACTATAAAAATGTAACATGCTTAAGCAAAATAAAAACATGGAATTGTACTATAAGAAGCATAAGGATGCATTTTGCAAGGTTAAATGAAAATCAAAGCTCTCTGATCTCACTTCATAGGAGGAAAATGTAAAGCCAGCCTCCTCCTCTTCCTACCCGTAATTAAATAGGTGTAGCCCTAGCCCATTCCAAAATATGTAGGGAACCCTTAAGCCAAATGAACAGCAATATTTGACACTACACTTTAGTATGATAATGATTCTACATAAACAGATCTGATTCTTGCTACTATTTCAAAATTACACATTGAACTGACTACAAAGGTCTTCTTTAAAAAAAAAAAAAAAACTAACCTACTAGAAGTGTCTCTGAAGTGACATCATAATACTTGGCATTCTTCTGAATTCTATTTAGAGTATAAGCAGGAAAAAAAATAAAAGTAAAGGAACTGTAATAATTGTATTTTTTAAATTTAAATGTTCTTTTCAATAAAAGTCTCTGGTCAAAAATGTGCATGGCATAATCCCATTAAAATATTTTGTTTTTATTTTGGACATTTATGAGCATTAGTGAATTAATCTAGTATTTGCATATTGATTTGCAGAGCTACCAAATTTTATTTTGCAAAGCAACTTGTATTTCTGAGAACCGTACCCTATAAAGCAATAGTAGTTCAAAAAATAATTAAAATAGCTTAAGATAAAACTTTTACTTTTTATGCCAGTGTCTTACTTCTTTTGTAAATACATGGTTTTTGTTCAAGAGGTTACTATACCAATAAAATGAAACTGAGAGAAATATAGGCATGGTATGTTTTAAAGTTATTTATTTGTATAAATAAAAAGAAGATAGTATATATCTAAATAATAAAAAGACTAAGACAAAGTTATTATTATTATTATTAATTATTATTTCACCTGGATATGGGAGTGACAGAGAGGCTTCCTTACAGCTTTCCTGGCCTGCAGGGGTTTTCCTAGTTTAATCTTTCCCTAAGAGTATAACATCTATAAGAATGCAGGGTCTCACATCCAGTCTCCCACTTGCCCCCAATGTATGCAACCCTGGTCTTTGTCAGGAAACCACTATTCTCCAAAATTCTGGGTTCCTGTATTTAACAATTGCCTCCAGAGCTTCCCAGGGTTCACCTCCACTCCTGCTTTTCTCCTGTAGATTTCTGTGTGTGCTTGGCTTAGAAGGATTTGTCTCACATTCCTGAGAGTTCAGCAATGCACCTGGAAATATTTTTGTTGTGATGAAACCAACATCTTGATACTTTATGACAAAAAGATCTTAGCCTGCTATGCTATCTGAAGCAATCGCTAGAACACAACTAAATGAACACCAGCTATTAAGCCAAAAGTCTTGGCTCAAGTGATTTTTTTTGTTTGTTTGTTTGTTTTGAGACAGAGTTTCACTTCTGTTGCCCAGGCAATGGTGTGATCTCGGCTCATGGCAATTTTCACTTCTCAGGTTCAAGCGATTCTCCTGCCTCATCCTCCTGAGTAGCTGTGATTACAGGCATCGCCACCACACCCAGCTAATTTCGTATTCTTAGTAGAGACAGGGTTTTACTATGTTGGTCACGGTGGTGTTATACACCTGATCTCATGTGATCCGCTCACCTTGGCCACCCAAATTACTGGGATTACAAGTGTGAGCAACCACACTCAGTGGCTCAAGTGATTCTTAAACTTTGAGAATCATAAGAAGGTCATATTTCTTCTTCTCTCCTGAAAAAAAGAAAAGAATATGCAAACATGTACACATAACTTGCACACAATGTCATGGACTTTCTTGGACACATCTTTAGAGGTCCTTGATCAATACCCAATCATAGTTGAGGCAGAGTAAAAGAGCAGGGAAATCCTAGACTTTGCAATCTAGTAGATTTAGCTTAAAATTCTGACTTAATGTCACCTCTCAGGCATCAAAGTCCAAAACAAGAACATGGTCCTTGATTTCTTTCTTTCCCTCACTGTGATCTTCCTTACTTCTAATCACGCCCAACTGCATGTCATTTTTCTGCATCCCTTTCAGTTCTGTTGTCATCATGCTGCTTTACGGCTTGTTAACTTTGTTCTCTCCCACACGCCTACTGCGGCCTTCCCTCCCTTTGAGTATAATCTGGTTTTACTAATTAATACCTTAAGACTTAGCTCAAAAAACATCATTTCCAGGAAGCTTTCTTTGATCTCTTCTCTCACTTCTCATCCATAAAAGCCCACTCTCTCCCATCACTAGCAAAAGCCTGGGTCCATCACTGTACTTGCCATATGACCCTGAAACTCTATTTGTCTGCCTCCACTAATAAACCATGAGCTCCTTGAGTGCAGAGGTTATGTGTTCGATACAGTCTATTGGTGCCTGGTCTGTAATCCATTTCCACTCCCATCATGCCCCACCTTATAAGGTAGGGAATGGAAGGTTAAACGTATGATTCTGAATGGGAGAGTTCTGCCAGTGAGATGTACCTAAGCAAGTTTTAAGGGACCAAGAGGAGGCAGCAGTCACCTTTTTGTTTCAGTGGCAGCTGCTAAGCACTTTATTAGCTGAGAGATTGTTTGCAGCGATGTCTAGACCCCACCTTCCTCTTTCTAGGCGTCCCTTAGGAGGTGAGAAGTTTCTTGGACAGCAGCAGCAAAGGTGGACACTAGTTTCTTGACTCTGAATCACTTCCACAAGGATGTGGCCTCAAAACCAAGGATTCGGCAGCAGTCCTCCTTTAACTTCCACTGCCCAAGTTCTTCCAATGAGGCCTTAAACACTAACTCCCGGTATTAAATCCATTTGTTCTTGAACTATCTAAAGAGATTTCTGTTTTGTTGTACTGAACTCTGAGCCAGACTGTGCCTCATTCATCTTCATATTCCCAGAATTTCAAAAATATGGTGTGTGTGTGTGTGTGTGTGTGTTTCTGTGTGTGTGTGTGTGTCCCAGAACAGAGGTAGATAAACGTTCACTGATTAGATCTTGATACATACTATTTAAGTAAACTATTTATCTTCTCTGAGCCACAGTTTCCTTATTTGTAAAATGGGAACAACGTTGAATAGGATTGCTGATAACTCACAATATCTCTTAATTATTCAGCACACCCTCTAAGTACAGGGCTATAATATTAACCACTAACCCCATCCTACAAATGTGGAAGTGACCATGAAGGAGTGAAAGGAAAATCAAGTGTCATGACGCCAAACTCACTAAGCCAAAGGGAAAAGTTAAGCTTGGAAACCAAGTCACACACACAAAAATCTACCTTTCCTTTTGTTCCCAAATAGATAGCTGCAAGATAGAAGGCCACATATCTCCCCAAGTGGCCTCCCTCATCCTGACAATATAAATTAACAGCTTATCTTCACAAGTCCAGGACAAAGACAAGATTAGAAATCATCCCTCTACCAGCCGAGACAAATGCAGATTTACCAAGTAGCAGGAGATGAATGCATAATTGACTGTTCTACTAGACCCTCCCTTCACACGTAATATGTAGATTCAGTGAGCCACTAATCAAAGTCTCACAAGAATGTGACCCCTTATCTCACTACCTCTCCTCCCCTTTTTTTCTCTTTTCCCCATTTCCCTCCTGCCCATTCGTCCCTCCTTAAATAATGAAGTCCTCAAAATACTCTATGGAAAGAAACACAAGCCATAGATCCTACTGTGATTTGAGTCTCCTTTTCCCAGACACATCCTCCACCTTGGCAAAACAAGCCTCTAAATTGATTGAGGCCTATCTCAAGCACTTTTTGTTTTACAGAGGTGGTTTTATAGTGTGGTTTAAGCAGCAGTTGTTTGACACTAAATAGCACTACAAAGTACAAACTAATAATAAAAATCACAACACACAATATGCCAATAGTTGATTCTACTGGCTGCATGGTTCTTCGCTGGAGACAATGAAATAAAATGGCTTGGCAATCAGGAAGGGTACAGCCAAGATGGGTTGAAAAGGTAATAAAATTCCTAATTTCCAAATGCTTTGCCAATTCACCTGCTTCCACTCCTTTTTTTTTCTTTAAGCAAAGCACTTTGTGCCTAATGCAAAGATTGACTTGCCTGAATGTTTCAATTAATGGAAAGTTGGACATTATTTATGGGGTAAATTTATTTATATGTATCATTATGTATGTGTGTGTATGTATCAGTGAATTATTCACATATTTCTAGCAAAAATATGTTTGTCTCACGTATCTAACTATTCAAAAAGAAAAAGTAAAGAGTCTGAACCATAGCATATTATTCTAAATTTTAAATAAATTTTGATGAAACACAAAAATTATGTGTCAGGATAAATACTATTACAAGTAATATTCTCTGATTTATGAATAAATCAGTGTAATTCCTAATACAATCAGTCAGGATAGAGTGTTTGGCTTCAAATGAGAGCAAAATGAACTTTACTATGAGAATTAAACTCACAACTTTGGTCTCATTTCAC